TAGAAACGATTCTGTGTTTTAAAATTGTCCAACTGCACCAGCCCTGGCCTACCTATTCTGTGCACCTAGGCCTACCTTATAGGCCTGGCCCCTGGCCTATAAGCAATATAAGAAATTTTGTTACATTTACTCGCAGTTCAAAGCCTTGTATTAGGTAACCTTGTCTTGGTGTTGCGCTCAACTGTTTCGCCTACATGTTTTGACCTAGCTTTTATTTATTTAAAATTTTTATTTATCTATTTATCTATTAATTTTTTTAATTTAATCTGCGTGTAGTATAATAATGTAAACATACAGCTTCCTTTTTGAATTTGGCTGAGTAGAAATATGGGCCTAGCATGGAGGGCATGTCTGTACGATCGTTGTCACGACTATTTCTTTTCAGTTTTTTTTTTTTTTTTTACCATTATTTATTTTTTAATTGAACAAATTTTATGGAGAAAAAAGGTGTAACAACCTGTTTTACACATAGTCCTGGTTTTTTTTTAATCATAAAACACAGATTACATTGACTTTTGGTAAGTTACATCAAATACTGTAGTAAAATAATACAAGTCAGTAGAAAAAAGAAGATTAGTAAAATTGTTTTAAGAAAAATAAACAGCACAGTCATACCATTGGTTATAAAAGTAGGCCTGTAAAGTTAAGGGTATTTTAAAAGTGGAATGTTAATTCTATAATTATTTTGATAACAAATGAGGGACATTAAAAAAATATCTAAAATGGTATAAAAAGAGAAGGCATAAAAATACATAAGAATACTGAACAACAAATACAATACGGGAATACTTGCTACTTCTAAAAACACGTGAATAATCAATAATCCATAGAAAACTTAATCTTATACTGTAATAATCAAATGAGATATTTAATACACTATACGTTTATTTTTTAGGTGTTGACTATTGCATTTCCAGTCCATGTGAAAATGAAGGGAATTGTATACCTCCTTATTCTGAGTTTACATGTGAATGTAAACCAGGCTACAGTGGGAGATATTGTGAAAATGAGTATTCCGGTGAGTACCGTAAATGACACAAAATTTAGCTACTGCTTTTTATCATATCGAATAAAAGCTACTGTAGGCCTAATCGTGATTGAGTTTTGTAAAACACATTTTGATTTACCTAGGAACATCTCATAACGTGTAAAACTAAAGTCACATGTTACTAATTCCATAACATGAATCTTGAGTTCATGCCGCACATCCAACTGCCAAAGGCGCTGTTTTCCTTGTCTTTGGATGCAGACTCGATCATACACAACGTGCAACCTTTTCCGCTCCCTGTTGAGTATTCAGGGGCATGAGCGCCAGGAATTCCCCGACGAGGGGTCCAAGCTCCCGACTAGAAGGGATCCACACCCCTCCCCATTCTGAGAAAAAATTAAATTGTTTGTTTTATTTAAAAATGTTAATTATAGGATTATTTATTTAAAAAGTATAATTTAACCATGCGAGTTAAGTTTCCCACATTTACCTGCCTTGACAGCGTAGTACGGCGTGCTTGAATTACGACCTTGCTGAAAATTCCCCGACAGCCTCAGGGGAGTTCAAGGGGACCCCCCCCCCGCTAGCGCCACCCCTGGGAGTATTACTAGTTATGCGTGTTAATGACTACTACTGTTTATTCCGAATCATCCACGTCTTACAAGCTGAGAGGCAGATCAGATAAAGTGTCTTGCCCAAGGACACAAACATTATAATGAGCATCGGTCTCAAACCCCCCAACCACATGTTAACATTGACAAGAAAATATTATAAAAACAACACAGAGAATGGGTAAGACATAAAAGGAACAAGTTTTGGTTTCCAACACCCACTTGTTCAACTAAGGGCCTGCCCCCTTCCACTTTTGTGACTGTTCCCAGCACCAGTAACTTACAAACGCTGCAATGTCATTATTATTATTATTATTATTATTATTATTATTATTATTATTATTATTATTATTATAATTATTATTTGCGCCTTACAAATCGATCTATTGTTATTATACAATATAATTTTTTTTTTAAATTTCAAAACGGACATTACAAGTTCCCTCCTTAAGTTGAGCAACCAGATGTTGATTCACGTCTGTATGTGCTTGCGTCTGTAAAGTTTTCGAGCATGAAGAAAAATGAATGGAATCGCCCGCCTTGCGCGACTAGGCAAGAGGTAGGAATTCTTTATGGAGCGTCGCTCTAGTTCTCTTAATGCTAACCTTGAAGATGTAAGTGAACCATGCAGATGTAAGTGTAACTGATTGGCCCTCTCCTTCACAAAAAAACTAATAATAATATCTATGAAAAATCACAAGTACAAGTTTAATTTGGTAGGTTACATTGCCATAATAGTAGTTCAACTGACACCGGATTTTGGGAAATGGTATTTCAAGTCCCTAATTATTTTCAGTAAAATAGGTAGTCTCATATCTTAAAAAATAACTACAGAATTTATGGTACACTGTATTTAATGTGTTATAGGTTGTAAAATTTGTATTGAATAAAACAAAAACTTTCAAATAAAAAAGCTTTCACTTAACATTAGGAATTAGTCATTTGTGAAACAAAATTATAGGCTCTGTCAATTGTTGAAGTATTGAACAGTGGTGGATTCAAGGAGAAGCCCAGTCAACACGGATCCCCAACCTACTATTTTTTCAAAAGTATAAAAAAAAAAAAATATTGAGAAAACAGACAAAATTTTAATCAACTTTTAATCTGCAAGTGCCATTTCCGGCCATCTAAATGTGCCATAATCACATTTTTTTCTTACCGCAGCCACTACCGTTGTGGGGCTGAGGTGGGTGGTCACTCCCTTTGCGCAAGACCCTCCCTGGGTCCCCTCTATTTTGACTTCCTGAACCCGCGACAGTTGGCGTATCATTTCTGGGATACTGTAGAAGGGTAATTTTCATCCATCGAGAGAAAAGTAATGGTTTCGTGGGGAATACCCATATCAAGCATACCCCTCATGATAATAAATAATATCATTGATATCGTGGAAGCAATCTGGACTTCGGCTTTGCTCAGAAATCAGTGGCGGATTCAAGGGTGGGGGCCTAAATTGTTCAATTTTTTTTTTCTTAATGGAGATTATAAGAAAATTATATTCAAATTTTAAGTCTGTGAGAGTGCAATTTCCGGCCATTTAGAGGTGCCTTAATCAAACATTTTCTTACCATCGTTGGGGCTGAGGTGGTATAGAATCTCCGTCTGCGAAAGCACCCAGTGGCGGATTTAATTAAGGCCCCGGGCCCCCTAAATTGTTAATTTTTTTATTTTTTAAATGGATATATAAAGAAAATTATCAAAAATGTTCTGACCTCAGCCCCAACCATGGTGGGGCTGAGGTGGACATACCTTATCTGTGAAAGTTCCCCCTCCTTGACCCCTCTATTTTGAATTCCTAGATCCATCACTGGAAATTACAACAATTATTCATATTACAGTAGTTTGATGACTATAACATAACCAAAAAAATTCACCAATCTTTGTCAAATATTCGTAGCTTCCAGGGGGATTTTCCCCCGATCCCAACCAGGGGCCCATGATCTCCCCCAGTCCCCCAGCCTAGATGCTCACTTCGCTCGCATAGTGGACCTTATTAAATGCCCCCCCCCCACTTTCAAAAATGTTCTGCCACCATTAGGGGAGGGGTGTAAGGGAAGCTCTTCAATATGGAGGACCTTTCCCCCTACTTCCGCTGGCGCCATCCCTCAGGAGCAGGTGGAATAACAAATATCGGAATCGCTATTCCAAGGTTAATTTCAGAAGAAACAAATAAGCTGAATGAACAAACAATGAAACTGCAACTGCAGAACATCATCATAATCCTCATCGTCGTCATCACCCATCATCGTCATTATCGTTGTCTCATTAATTGCATATAACACTCTACAATAAAATAATATGTTAGACTTAGGCCTGTATAGAGGTTTAGTTTATAAATCCGACGTTGAATTAAGCACAAAATTATGTAATACGTACACAGATCCTTAGAGAGAATTCCATAACGGTTTTTCATATATCTTTTAAATTTTGCCCGTTCTACAGTTGTAAAGGCTTACTGATTTAAAAATATATAACTTCAGATGTTTTATCTTTAAGCAAAATTTTATAGGCCTATTGCAAGCCATTGGTTTTTGTCAAAGGGCCCCCATTTGACACAGTGAAGAGGTGTACCGATCTTGTGCTTTTTTTTTTAACTTCTTTTTTTTTGTACTTGTTCTTTGCTGTTTTTCTGTTTTTGTAAATGTTGATATTTTGATACAAATGAATGAAATAAGTGGAATCCGCTTTCACTCCTGGGTGAAGAGAGACAATACCTGGTCTACGAACACAGGCGAAATGCACAGTACCGTACCTCAAATGCCGCGCCAAATCGCACATTATGGTTGAAGTGACGTGCGTTATATCGTCCCTTTGACATGCGTTATATCTTTCCTTCTAGGTGCAGCCTGTTCTAGTAGTACAGGTTTGACAATTGGTATGTTCTTTGTGGGCATCATTGTTGGAGCCTTCGGAGTAATTGGTGGATTGATCGGCTACACTAGGATTAAACAGGTTTGTCAGATACCAAAACAAATTTCAGTAGTATGATTTTAACACAATAGGCCTAATACATCACTCCTTCCCATTTATGTTCAATCAAATGGTCAAGATTAAAATAAGCAAGCTTGTACAAAATTGTAATGTAAATTCGGCCTAATGACTGCAAAGTGACATAAAACGAATTTACAACGAATGTTTGTAAATTCGTATTAATGATTATTTTTATTTCAATTCAGAAGGCACAAGAGGACAAGAGGAGTACGGATAGGAAAAAGCAAGATGTAAGCTTTTAATATTCCAATTCACCTCATCTTTGTCACCTATCATCTTCGTGCCACATACACAATGCCATGGTTTCTGTAAATAGACCTATTATGTTGTCAAATGATTCAGGTGGATATGTAGTCATGTTTCTATGACCTCCCCCAGACTGTAGGTCCTCCTTCCCACAATCAGTAACATGCTATCGCGCCTAATTTGTAGGACAAAATCTGCTCTACCACTGAAACGGTATAGACATAATCGCAGTTATATTCTACCGATTGTTAAAATGTATTATTAACTTGTATTGTTTTATACAGAGTGATAATAGACTAATGAAAATATTTATCTCAAGCTTTGCGATTTTTAAAACAGATGATAATAAATTGCACATAATTATGTTTCGATTTTAAAGGAGTTTCTAAACCTCTCCATTGTATTCATTTAAAAAAAAATTATTATCAAGTATCTTTACAAACAAATAACGAATGACCTAAATTGCATTGATAACGATTCATATCTCGACACAGACGTACATGGACTACCTGTCAGATAGGTCAATTGCTGGCAATGAGAACCAGACTTACCAAGATCTACAACATAGAGACGAAGAAACAGCTTATGTTAATGTGAAGCCGGGAAAGAGATAAGAAATTAAAGAGAGCAGTAGCTGGTTTGAGTGAATGCTTGTTACTTGTACAATGATCATGATAATCCATCGAATTTAATCAATGATGATCGTACAACCACGAACCTCTCTAAGAATTGTTTAGCTCTGTCCAGGTTATCAATTAAAAATGTAGCATGTCCATATTATAGTCATGATGTGCCTATATGGTCATGATGTGATGTCATCAGACCATATTTAGGCATGTCACATATGTTTTTAAAAATAGACTTTGTTAGTCTGGACATTGCTTAAGTCTACGTATCACATCCAATATCATACGTAACTCATTGGATTCATATATTTAAAAAGTTGGTAGATGGCACCATGAGTGTCGATAGCATGTTAGTCTATAGTATTACAACAATACAGTATTAAGCCACTATGCTTAGAAAAGCATATGATGAAGTCGACAAAGCACAGGTACACTGTTAGACAACACTTTAATGTGCTTTTTTAACAACCACCTTCCGTTTATTATTTAAACTTTGTGTGGCTAGATAACCGTCGTTTTGAATGTGATGCACCTCATATATGGAACTTCGACGTTTATATAACGGTAGTCAAATACAGTAGATCACAGTGAGCGTTACCATACCCCCTAAAAAACATAGGATCTAAACGTTAAAAATCTACAAGAAATACATGCTCCAATGTTATAAACAGGTTATATAACACTATACCAGAAAATAATTTAGGTATTGTGGTATGCAAAGAAAAGGATTGCAAGCGTGAAATATTATGTAAGCTTCTATGTCGCCTTCGAAGTTGAAGAAATACCTTAATAGCACTAATAATGTAACAAATAGACCCTACTTATTAAAGTAAAACTTACGAAAATGCTGAAATAAGTTAATAATAATAATAATTAATAATAATAATAATAATAATAATAATAATAATAATAATAATAATAATAATAATAATAATAATCAAATTTCAAATTTCAAATTTCAATTCTCCCCAGAGGGAGACTTTATTCTGTATATAGGCCAACAGCCTTAAAACATAAACATTAGTGTGTCAAATAAAATGTTCGCTTCTTGTAAGCATGTACAATGAAATTGGCTAATGACTTAATCGTACTTGGTTTCCTCGACTTGAATAACGAAACAAAGTAGAACATGTTTGCAATATAATTAGGAATAAAATGATTTCTTTCGTGATTATATAATAATTATAATAATAATAAAATGTGTTATCCTGAATAAAAATCTATTGTTCAAACTTATATTTAGTATTTGTTTTTGATTACTTGTGTCCCGGAAGAGTCTTGATTTGTCTGATCCAGCTGGGGTTGTAGCCAAAAGGTATTGTTAAAAAAATATTACCGTACTATTTTATAAATGTTAAATTTGATTTATTATAATCTTCTAATGTAAAAATCGAAATAGGTATGCCAGGGCATACCACTGAATGAAGACATTCTGGAACTCACTCTACCGTCATTTAAAGAACTGTAAAATTATAGACGATGCATTTTACTCGCATTGAACCCTCACCCCCAATCCTAGGTGAAACAGGAATGCAGCAACGAAATTCTGTTAAAACCGAAAGGTCCACTGATTAATCTCAGATAAGATAGTATAATAGGCCTACATACTCGAAGTATCGAAATGCACGCCATCGTGTCGGGATTCAATATCTCGACATTAACTATGCCATCATCAGGAATGGATGATGATGACATAATTAATGTCGAAATATTGAATCCCGACACGATGGCGTGCATTTCGATACTTCGAGTATGTATAATAGGCCTAATTCTGTTAATAGGCCTACTACCAAATTGCCGACCGAGCTAGTGTTCAAAAGAAAATTAAGGAATTCCTTTATGTTTTTATTGTATTTATATCTATTTTGATTTTTAAAAAGAGTTAACGTTTTGTTAAAAAGTCTTAAACAAAATTTTAATTACGTTAATTTTAGTAATAAAATATTCCTGATTTTTTTTTTAAACATTAACCCAGTATCACTGGGCTCGCGTCATCCAGGCATTCAAGTATCCTTCATCACTTTGTACTTCTACGTACTGTACTTTTCATAATTTTTTATCAATGTTAATCTGTCCTTGAAATGCGAAATAGGCCTAAATAATAAACAAATCAACTACACGGTAGTAAGTTAACGGGCAATAGG